TCCAAGACAAGAATGGGCTATTTGGCAAGACACCATGTGGAAACCAAAAATCTGTTGGGAGACACTGCAGGGTTCGGAGCTGCAGTTACTACTTGACATGGATATGGTAGACATGGTAGCCCCAGGTCATTTACCCAGCATCCTCAGCACTATTCAATTCTTTGTTGTTTTTTCAGCTTCTACTCGAACACGAATGCAAAAGCAGAAAATGAATGATAGCATGGATATCTCAAACAAGGAAGAAAAGTGAGAATCTTAGGACCCTGGACACTGTGGATCCTGGGGGACACCTGACTGTCTCATGGATGACTCTTTCTCATGGATGTGCCCAGGTCCTGCTCATGGCTGTGTTTACTCGTGTTATAGATATAAAATGTGCAGGTACAAGCTGAATATTTGTGTGGGTGATTCCTAAGCCACTTCAATGTTGTAATCAATGGTATAGAATTGATAGTACACAGGATTGAGAATCTTGTGCCGATCATGCCATTTAAAACATGAAAGCAGATTGTTTGCATTTCCAACGTGAGCCTGCTGCCCTCAGAAGTGAGGCTGCCTCTGGAGGGGGTCCTAACAACCTCCTTATGCCTGGCTGACTACTTTGCCTTTCCTCATGGCACATGTGTGATGTTTGCTCTTGGTTTTTATTAATTTATATGTATTTTTTTTTAATTTAACGTGAATGCCCTTAGAAAATGTGTCCTGTCTTCCAAATGCAAGTTGATTGACTGTCCACTTTCAACCAAATTATCTTGACTCTTCTACTGAAACAGATTGTTACAAACCGGGGAAAAGTACTACTTTCTGTACATTGGGCTTATTTTAATATTAGAATCTAATGTGCCGTGTGTTTGTTTTACATATTTTACCTTTTAAATACAAGCAAAAAAAAAGTATAAACATATGATACTGTCTTACTACTGACACAGATTTCATACCTCAGAACCTGTAAGAATTGATTTTTTATTCGTTCAACTCATGCTTTAAACTGAAGATTATTGATAATACTCCAGGTTTTTTTTTCTTTTACTCATTCAGATTACTGAATCTATAAGTACCTATGCAGTACTTGAAAGTCAAGTCTGGCCACAGCTGTGCTGCAGAGGACCCTAGTACAGTACAACTCAAGTGCACTTTCTAATGTTTCTGGGTCCTGAAGAATCAAGATACAAATTAATTTGTTCCACAAGCAGACTGTTAGCTATAGGAGCCTTCAAGTTTTTTCCTCATATAAGTGTCTAATTGCTTCTCAACAATTTATTCTGCTCTTCTAAAGTTGGGGACATTTGTGTTTTCTCTGGAATGGTACATGTCTTCCAGGTTTCTTTTGAACTGGCAATTATCTTTTTTTTTTTTTTTAAGCCAATCTGGTCTAATAACACTGGCTCATTCCAAGCCACACTATTTCTAGTCCAGCATTACTGCAAGTAATCAAAGGCGTTTATAAGTTAGGCTTAATGTTCTCTCTGATGCTGGGCAGAAGCTTCAGATGAAAATAGCTGCAGTGAAAAAAGAGGCACTCCCTTCACCCCTCCACCTAAAGGTGTATTTAAATTATCTTGTGGGATTAACTTATTTAGAGATGGTATAATTTAAAATAGGTGATATTTAAGGTAGTATCAGCTAGCATTTAAGAAAATCACTTTTTCTAAACTCCACACTTTTTGAAAAGATCTGGTCTTTTTAAAAAACAAACTTCTATTTTTCTCCTCAATTTACTTTGTTTTACTAGTTTGATAGTTATCTCAATAACAAAAGCAATAGACAGCTTACCCCGTTTCTTCATTAAGTTTTGCATGAACATCATACTGATTAGTTAGGTTTTAGGTCAAGGGCTTACCATACTTCTAGGTCTTTTGCTAGTAAGTTCAAGTTAGAATTAGTGACAGAATTAGAGGACTTTTCAAAGATCCTGTATTGAGATTTCTTAAAGCTGCAGACCCTGCACTATTGGTTTTGTTTTTGTACTGGTTAAAACTATACATTCAAATTGCTATGTCCCTATTTTCTATAATAGTTTGTCTATTTTAAAATAAATTAGTTGTTAAGAGTCTTACTGGTGTGATATGGTCTCTGTGTTAAGTGTTTTCTGTATACCATCTTTTCCCTAATGTCTCATCCATTCTGACAATCCTGAGATTTATAGAAATGTGCTTTTGAGGCATACATGCTTTATAGAATGTTAATATGTATTAATTCTGTTACTTTTTGCCTCAGTTTTTAAGAAATGAAATTTTTTAAAACCTATGTGCTTTATGAGACCCTTTCAAAAGCAGGCAGGAACAGGGAGACACTGAAGCCTTAAAAGCAACCAGCACCATAAGGCACAAAGAAGGATCAAGATGGGACAATAGGTGCTTATTTAACTGCCAACTGGTAGCTACAGGACCTTCCTATATTTGAATATTCCTTTGTTGATAAACAACAAATCTATCCAAACATGACAGGAGGCTCATTTACAGTAGCAAGTTAGTAAGGATTTGATGGTGGCTACAGACATAGACTGAGCTTCAGAACGAGAGGTGTCTGTGCTAACTCCACTAGACGGGTACAAAAAACAGAAGAAAAAAAAAACTACAAGATCAAAAAATCTGACTGTGGTGGCAAATGCTTGTAATCGTGGCACTCAGCAACTGAGTCAGGAGGGTATGTATGGGAAGCCAGCTTGAGTTACACAGAAGACCTAAAAACATTTTTTTTTTAAAGAGAGGTGGAAAAAAGATAAAGTGACAAGTTCTATGTTTGTTTGCAAAAGATACATCTGATAAAGGACTCTTATCTAAAATATACAAAGAATTCCTAAAGCTCAACAAAATGAAAATACACAAGTTAATTTTAAAATGAGCCAAAGACCTATCCAGTTAGTTCACTGAAGAAGCAGCAGATGGCAAGTAAGCACGTGCAGTGATGGTCCACATCATACATTATCCAGGAGATGCCAAGGAAAACAATGGCAGCACTAAACCTGCTAGAATGGGCAGAATTTGAACCGCCAACATCACCAAAGGCTGGTGACAATAGAACTCTCCTTCATTGCTAATGGGACAACAGCTTGGCAGTGTCTTATAAATCTAAATATAACCTTATCATAAGATCACAGTATATTCCTTGTGATTTATTTAGTACAAGGAGCTGAGAACATGTCTATGCAAAACCTGTACACAGTTGTTCAGCCACTTTCTCACAATTGTGTAAAACTGGAAGCAATCAAGATACCTTTCAGAACATGAATGGATAAACTTGTGCATCCAGAGAGTGGAATATTATCACTAAAAAGAAACTATTAAGCCATGGAAAGACAATGGAGGAATCTGAGGTGTCTAAGTAAAAGAAGCCATTGTGAACAAAACTACATGCTCAGAATTCAGTGACCTTTTGGAAAAGATAAAACTATGAAGACAGAAACAGAACAGTGATGGGATAGGGATGACTCAGCTGTTAGGAACACTTGTTGCTCCTGCAGAGGACCTGGGTTCAGTTCCCAGCACCCATAAGCTTTACATTTAGAACTCTAGTCCCAGGGAATCCGTCTGCAGGTAATAGGCACATATATGCTGCACATACAGTTACGCAGGAAAAGTATTTCAACACATAAATACATATTTGAAAGATCAGTGGTTGCCAGGGATTAGGATAGACAAAAGGGAAGGGATAGGTAGACCAGAGCTATTCCATGTGTACTGTTAACAATGGAGATGAGCCAGTATGATTGTCCAAACCCACAGAATATACAACACCAGGAGTGAAACTCATAAACTGGCTTTCATGGGATTTAGGGTATAATCTCATCAGCTGTTATAAATGTACCACTCTGGAGCAGATGCTGAAAGTGACAAGGTAACACATGTTGGTGAGGTGGTGACAGAGGAATGTTATCTGTGCCTTCTCAGCTTGTGAAATATAAAACTGAAAAAAAAAAGTCTTGAAAACACGTAACTATCCTGACAAAAGCTTGAGTTATTTGGGAAGAGGGACCTGAAATTGAGAAAGTGCCTAAGACTGGCCTATGGGTGAGTCTGTCAGGCATTTTCTTAATCATTGGTATGAAAGGTCCTGGGCCAGTGTGTGAAGTGGCACCCATGGTGCCACCATGGGCAAGTGGTCTTGGGTCAGATAAGAGAGCAGGCTAAGCAAGCCATGGCAAGAAAGCTAGTAAGCAGCACACCCAAATGGCATAGCATCTACTTCATATCCTGCCATGAGAGTTGCAAGCTGAAATAAACCCTTTTCCTTCCCAAGTTTCTTTTTGGTCAAGATATCACAGTAATAGTAACTGGTGGCTATTCTTGGTTGTCAACTTGACTATCCCTGGTACAGTCCAGAAATGGAGGGCACACCTGTGAAAGATTGTCTGTTTGAAGTGGGTGAATCCATCCATTTGTAGTCCATACCTTTAGAGTGCAAAGACTGATTTTTAAGGTTGGAAGGCACACCTTTAAAATTGGGGGTGCCTCCTGTTTTAAGTCCTTATAAGGACTTAAAAGAAGGAAGCTTTTGTTTTTGGTCTGCTTGTCCTCGCTTTGCTAGCACATCCATTCCTTCACTGGCATTCAAGCCTACCTCTTTGGGATTCCATCATATACAGACCAGCTAAGACATCCAGCCTTGTGGGACTGAGCAACTACTAGATTCTTGGGACTTTCTACTCACAGCCAGCCACTGTTGGATTGCTAGACTGCAGGCTGTAAGTGATTTCAATAAACACTTTAACTCCCTATCTACCCACCCACCCATTCATCCATCTACCCATCCATCTATAGAGATTCACTTCCTAAGTTGTGACTGTAGAGAACCCTACCAATAAACAGCAAAGGCTATAAAGTGAAAAACTGGATTTTTAAAAACAGGAACCATTTATGTATTGTCAACTTTGCTAGAAGACATCCAAATATCTCCTTTTAACAAGTACAGATCATTAAAGGGATTTTTATATAGCTATAAGATAAAAAGTTGATACTTGATTTTTATTTTGTTGTTCAACAATTTAAGAAGACAATCTGTTCTATCAAGTAAGTACTTTATTATCAAATAATTATACATGAGAACAAGATTTCTATTTCCAAAAAGGTTTCCTTTATATCATATTGTGAGACACTTAGAAGTATCCAATGCTACATCTTGTCCAGTTAGTTTCTCTTTTGCTGCAAGGTGGCTTGTTTTTGTCTAAAAATGCAGACTTTATCACATTAATGCTACCCATTAAATGTGGTAGTTCCTTTCTATATAGTATTTACTGCTTCAAGGTTAAGAAACTTATTTTAGCTGCGCAGTGGTGGTGTACACCTTTAATCCCAGTACTCCGAAGGCCTGGGGCAAGTGGATCTCTGTGAGGTTGAGGCCAGCCTGATGTACAGTGTGGGTTCCAGGAGAGTCAAGGCTACACAGAACAAAAACAAAATAACAAAAAAAAGTTATTTTATAGTGACATAAAAGCTACAAGAAAAACAGTAAGTCTTACAGAGGGAGATCCTCAATATAAAGAAGAGCAAGGCTTTATGCAAATACATGAAGGCATGCAAATCCAGAAATTACATTCAAAGTTAATACTTTCTAACAATGCCACATGAGAAGTTAGCTTGGAAAGTAGAAAATTAAAACTAGCCCTTGGGCCTTTGACAATTTAGTTGCTAAGGCCTTTTGTGAATTCTGATTAATGCTCTAAATCAACTACTATGTTTTAGAACTACAAACTAGAAGAATATGAATATCAGCAATTACAGATTTCTAAGTTTTCACCCAAGCTAACTGTTCTCAGTGCATCCTTAGGATTGACAGTAAATTAACCGAGTCCCTTTTATAAAACAAGGCACTGTGTTAGAGTGACAGCATTCCTTGTGTAACTGTACATTAGCCAGTTGAATATTGGACCATTCCTCTAGCATAGGTAATACATCAGTGTCCGAAAAAGACCTTAAGTGTCTCAAAGAAAGAAATGATTACTATAATGACAATTTCATTTTTTAGGTGATGTCTTTTATTTTTCGTATCTTCATTATATCCTTTTTCTACTTCAACTTCTCCCAGAACCTCCAAACTTTCCTACCTACCCAACTAAATGTTCTTTTTCTCTCTTAAAAAAAAAGCACACAAATAATCATGGAGTCTTGGAAACTATTTATGTTAGCCAGTTACTCCTAAACATGTATGAAATCAGAGACTGACAGCATGTACAAGATATGTACAAGCTCACACCAGACAGATACCTGCTTGGAGAAGGGAGGTGGACACAAAGTCCTCCCCTACCCAAGAAGCTGGGACATTGTCACTTGAAGTGAGTGTTTCATTTCCAGTTAGAGCACTCAGTGCCTGCTATTGAAAACCTTTGGTTAGGCAGATGGAGAGGATAGAACATAAGAATATGGCCAGCTATATCTCTCATCAACACTGTTAATTACAGAAGTTGTCAATGGCTTTTATTTTTGTATTTGTATTTATCTTTCTGGGAGTGGGGGTGAATGGAAGGGCTTAAGCATTCCTTTCCACATTCAGGATCAGTTCTTAAAGGCTCCAACTCTGCTGGCTTTGCTGATGAAGTTCTTCAGAAGATCGTGGTCCATTTCTGCAAAGCCTGATGTTTGTGTTACTACAGTCAGATGGTTGATGCAAAACCTGAAGCAGAACTCTTCTAAGTCCTAGGAACAACAACAACAGCTTGAAGAATCTGTATTCTCAGTGCAATGCCACCAAGAGACTTCCTCTCAGAAAAAGGATCTGAGAGAAGCCAGTAGGAGGGAATGTCAGCAGCACAATTCCATTATAGCAACTATTAACTACAATTATTCCATGTTTCTGAAAGAGTAAATATCGGAAGAGTCCAATGCAGCCAGGGCAAAGCATCTAGCCTTTTCTTCCAAGAGAGGAACCTCCGCAAAGGCATCCTTCAGTACCTTTCCCTAGCAAGAATGCTTGCTATTCTTTCATTCCCTTTCAATACTTGTTAAAAGCACTGTGTTCCCAGTGTGTTAAATGCCTCTGCCTGTGAAGAGACAGACGGTAGAAGAAAGAGGAGACCCCAAGGCAAATGGTTATGCCAGCAAGCCCAGATCATTACTATCCTTATTTTTTCTCTGCAGGATAACAGGAGTGATGGGTGGATTTCATCGCATTACACCTTCAGTAATCTTAATGGGGGTGTCACTAAGTGGCAGAGTGTGTGCTTGTCATGTGAGGCTCTAGGTGCAATCTTCAGAACCAAAAACAGTCCCGAACCAAAGTTTATAGATTTACATGTATACCAATACAAATAGGTGTATTTATATAAAATCAGTGCTGAGAATGAGCTCAATGCCTTGTGCACACTAGGCTTACTAAGGAAGTGTTCTACACCCAGGTATGAGCTGACCTAGCATAAGGGTAACTGTTCGTGTCCAAATTTTAAAGTTCTGTCTCTGTTGTTGAAGCTTTTATAAAATACAAAGCTCCCAACCGTTCCCAAGAAATTATATATGTGCATTGCCCATTATAGTTGTTTCTCAAAATACATATGAACTCTAGCAAATGCTGAAAATGAATGCAAACTGAGATTATCAGCAACAGAGAAATCAATGTGGACAACCATGCCAATATGCACACATGCCCACAGGACTTTTCCCTTGTGAGAAAGAAAACCAGTTACACAAGAAAAATGTAATATGCCATCCCACAACAGACCAGCAGTCTGCTGGGGTCTCAGTAGCAGCATGACATTTCTGTCCCACATGAGCTCTTGAAGACAAAATGGAACTGCCATGTACTCACATGACAACAAACATGCTGTCTGTATAGATGACAAATACCCCGAGAGCCACTCAGCAGCAGACAGCATAGGAAACAAACATGACAGAGTGGTTCCTCTTACGCTGAATTATACAGGATGGAGGAATTAAGCCTATGCCACACCAGTACTGATGCTGTGGAATTGGGTAGCTGAGCACTGCAATATCTTATAGATCCAGAGCCAGGATAGTTCCTGATTACTGGGAAATCAAAATGACCCCAAGAAACGACCACTTAGCTCTATCTTCCTTTACTTTTTGGACTGAGAATTTCCCATGATTCTTGTAACGGTATTCAGAAAGAGTTCCTGGGATTCAATAAATTGATACAGAGTTGAATTGACTTATCAGAGAATTCTGACAAGTCTTTAACTATCTTTCAAACACTTTCTCTACTCTGATGCTACTGTCTTACACATCCACATTTTAATAAGGGCTCTTACTTCTGGCAGGCAAATACAGACGCCTTGGTTTCTTGTTCATTCTTCTCCAACATGACTCACACTTTGTCTAAGTACTTCCTCTTACTCATTTTGAACGTGACTTCCTGCTTTGCTCACAAGAGGCTCCATAAAGGCCTTTCCCTCACATCTCCTGCCTCCTGCTACAGATGTGTAGACATTCCTCATTGGGGTATTCTAGTGAGTGGTCCACAATGGATAAAAGGCTCGCCTCCTCACTATCATTAGGCCACCTGCCCCATCTACCCATCTGCTCTAGCCACTGTCCCTCTCCATCGGCTTGTGTTTCAATGTACTGTTCCCCTTTTCACACAAACATGCTTTGATTTATCTTTTAACCGGCCCTTCAATCTGTTTCCTGTTAAATCTGTAAGTGAAATTACCCGGAAAAGCTGTGTCTGGTTCCCACATCTCTCCGTTCCTTCGCTTCCATTCTCCCTGGGCACACCTTCCTGAAACGCTGCACTGCAACACTGTAGCTTTCACACTGGCAGATCTGAACATGTACCTTGACTTACCAGGGCTTTAATGTACTTGATGATTTCTTCCTAAAACGCAAGTCTTTCCTACTTTCAGGATATCACCTCCTGAATCACCTAGTCTGACTTGTGTATTTCCAAATATTTGAAATTTCATTTTTCACTTGACATTAAAATAAATAATAAAAATTTTAAAAAGTACTCAAGTGGAATGGCTTTATTCTGGTACTTGTTCCTCTGTAGTGCCCTCTACTAGTGTCTCCTTACTGGAATCTTCACTTCTGTCTGTGTTGTAACACAGCTGCCTGACAGTTCTCAGGCCCTTCACTGTGAACTGCAGACTGGGTTATGCTATTGGCTCCCTGGGTGTTTCATAGGTCCTTGAGACCAGATTCCTAAGTGCATCTCCTAAAATGCTGCTCCTTGCCATGCTCCATCTCCCAGAAAAAAATTCATCTTTTCAGTTACTCAGGCCAAAGCCTTGGCATGAACCTTAAACTGTCATTCCTGGTCGCCATCAAGTCATCAACAATGATATCTTTATCTTTTAAGTATAGTTACAATCCATCCACTTTTCACCATTCCTATAGCCAAAGACTTGGATGAGACCATTGTTTCCACTTACTGCTGGACATAGTCTCCTTATTGGACACTCCCTACAGCCAACCTACTACATGTGGATACAGTTAGGGGGCTCTTGGTTTCTATTTAAATATTGAATGTAAATGAAACTGCAGGTACTTAGGAATATATACAAGTCAGGCCTAGTGGCTCAGGCCTATTCTTCAAGACATGTAGGAGCCTGAGGGCAAGAAGATGGCAAGTCCGAAGCCTGTCTGGGCTACAAAGTGCTCAAGCTCAAACCTAGCCTAACAGTGAGATCCTGCTTCATAACAGAGGAGGGCTGGGGATATAGCTTAGAGATCAGCTCTTGCCTGGCAAGTATAAAGCCTTAAAATTCAATGCCTAGACCATACACAAAAAAAGTTTGTAATAGAAAGTAAAGGAAGGAAGATCAAGCTCTGACCTGGGGATGGGGCAACCATGCCCTATGAAAAAGGACAGTCATAATGTCTGCTCCATGCATCGTTTCCTCCCTCAGACTTACAATTTCCTACATAAGCATGTTACTGTTTACAAAAAAGGAAAAGGCATTCTCTTTTTACCACTCTTTTTTTTTTTTTTTTTTTAAATCAATGGGGAGGATATCCTTATACCAAAAGGAAACTGACTCCAAGAAGTTATGGCCTGTTTCCGACAGATTTAGCTCTAAAATAAGTTTTCCTTCCTTTCTTTATCATAATAATACACAGCCACTGTAGAAAGTTCAGGAAGAAAGCAGAGACGGAAATAAAACCATGTCTAATCTCCCCGTGCCAGTATATGCACCTTAATGACAGAGGGATCTCCCAGTTCCTCCATGGATATTTATGTTTTCCATTTGTTCTTTGGTTCATTTTTGCTTCCAAACTGCCCATATTTTCCTTTCCTTTTTTACCATGAAGAACTTGCTTTATTTTATGTTATAAACATGCTTTCCCAATGTGACATTTACTTGATTTATTTCTGTGTGTGTGTGTGCTTGTACAAGGTATATGTCACAGCACATATGGAAATCAGAGGACAGCTTGGAGTCAGCTCTCCGCTTCCATAAGTGGGTTTTAGGGGCTGAATTCACATTCTTGGGCTTAGCAGAAAGCTCCTTTACCTGTGAATCATTTCACACTTGATGTATAAAGATTTTAATCACTAGAAATCAGGTCTACCAGTCTTTTATAGTGTTTTCCTTTGATGTTACTGAGTCACATTTTATAACACTATAATCACAGTTTTTCTAGTAGTTTCATTAATTTTGTATGTTCCATTTTCATGTGCCTAGAGCTTACTGTCAGTGGCTTGCTTTTCTTACCTGAGCATCGTACTTCACAGCAGTAGAGAGCAGAGCAATAGCGTTCTCCTCACAGATTCCTTGTTTGATAGTTTGCTGACAGAGCTTTTTCAGCCGAGTCTCACTATAAAATGTAGCCAGATCTAGCAATCCTAATGGAAAGAAGAATTTATTGTGTGTGTACTCTGAGCACTTGACCTCAACTCTAGCATTCAAAAGGATATGAGTACTGCTTCCATCAGGCACAATGAGCTCCGTGCAGCACTGACAGAGTGAACTATAGTCATAGTGCCCTAAGAAGGCAGATGAGCTGAGCTCACACTGAGAAAAGTTACTGGAAAACAAGAGCTAACCAAAGAATGGCTTGAATGATTTTTCCTAGAAACAAAATGACAGGTTTGTGTTTCTCTCAGTTACCCTCTCCTGAATTAGCAGAAACTTCTCAGCATACATGTCAGAATTTAAAAAAAAAAAAAAGAAAACTGGCGGGGTTGGAGTTGGGCAAAGGTCAGTGGTGCAGTGCACAAGGTTAGCAGGCTCAAGCCCTACCTTCAAACAACAAAGGAATACCCTTCATGGGCACATCAGCCTCCACTCCTCCAACACAGCTTTCCTCTCCTTTTTTAGCAAAACTAGAGAGCAGTCTATAATTGCTGTCTTTTTTCACCTCCCACTGTGTTCTGCTGCCCCACAGTGAATCCACATATGTAAATGGGCCTCACATGGCCAAATTCAGAGGCTGATGTGGTTTTCTCTTATTCAACATTCACCCAGAGTTTAATGTGGGGGACAGGCTCTGACCCTGGGCACTCTGTCACTTGTTTATGTTTTTCTTTTCTGAATTAGTAACTCTTCTTAGGTTCTTTTGGCTGGACTATTATCCCTGTGCATGACCTGATGTTCAGCCCTCACATACTTCTCCAAATGAGCTTTGGTCCCTTTGTTTTAAGTACCACTAATGAATGCTGATATTTCCTCTTATGTTATCTCCTTTAAATAATTCAATGGAGACTGATATATATAAGTCATTTCATTTTAACCCAATTTGGACTATTCTAACCAGGAATATTCAATAGGCATTTGAAGGATCCTGTTAATTTTCAAATATTGCTGTTTGAATCTTCACTAGAGGGCTTGTTAGTTAGCAAAAATGTCAGAATTTATCACCAGTAAGAGTTCAGCTGAGGATGTGTGCACCTGAGCTAAGCCATTGTGGGTCCTCTGCCCTGGCATCAATGGAATCCACCATTGCGAGCCCAGCAGTCCAACCCCTTGGGAACCTATGTAGGCTAGATCTACATTCAGACCCAGGTGTCCCTGATCAAAAGGTTAACTTGTAATCAGGATCTCAGTCTGGCCTCCCCTCAGCTACCTGGTCCTTGTGATCTCTGCTAATAAAATTCAGACAAGATACCATGTGTAATGTAGAAGACAGACAGAGTTCACTGGAGTGGATCAGAGCACACTCATGGAGTGAGCATGGGTAAAGCACAGATGACCACTGTATGCATCTTCAAACACTTTATATTACTTCAATATATATTTTTTCCCTGAGACAGAGTTTCTCTGTGTAGCCCTGACTGTTCTGGAACTCAGTCTGTAGACCAGGCTGGCCTGGTACACACACACACACACACACACACACACACACACACACACACACACACACAC